TCCTAGGGACTCTGGTACCTTCTATGCTGTTGTAACTATCAACTTGACACAAAGACTCTTATTGAGTAACTATCTGGGTCAGGTTCGCCTGGGGCACATCTGTGTGTGTGTGTGGGGGGGTTGTCTTGATTGTTGATTGAGGTAGGAAAACCCATCCTGAATGTGGGTGGCACTGTCTTAATGGACTGGGCCCTGGGCTGTGTACGAATAGAAGCTTTGCTCAGTAGTCACCAAGCAAGAATACATTCATGTTCTCTCTTTCTCTTACTCTTTCTATCTCTCCCCCTCTCCTCCTCTCTCCCTCTCCCCCTCCCCCTCCCCCCTCTGCCCCTCTCCCCCTGACTGCGGGTGTGGTGCTCTGATTTCCTGCCCTGGTTCCCTTGCAGTAATGGACTGCAGCCTGGAATTAAAGCCAAATAAACCTCCTCCTCCCTGCTTTATGTCAGGCTTTTGTCACAGCAACAGAAGTGATGCTAGAACACCTTCGAAGCCCCGGGTGCCCTGTCCACGAAGCCCTAGAGATAGCAAGAAGATGGGGCTGCTGTGTGAACCCACATGCTCTCTGTGGCCATGGTGGGCAGTAACTGAGGCCATGGATTTATTAAGGAGACATGGGTGACAGCAAGCATACTCCATTCTGGTTGCTGTCCACCTTGCCCCTGGGGACTGCCCCTGGCAGTCATGAGTATTTATTATCACTTTACATTGTGGTCTGGGCCGAACTCTGCCAACCAACCGATTGAGGCTATCTTCCTCCTCCTCCTCTTCCTCCTCCTCCTCTCTCTCCCCTCCTCCCTCCCTCCTCCCTTCTCCTCATTCTTCTTCCCCTGACCCCCTATTCTTTTTCCTGATTTTTTGAGACAGGGTCTCATCAGACAGGGCTGATGTCATATATCGTCCTCAAATACTTCCTCTTCATCCTACTGTTTAAAAACTGGGTCTCCCAGCACTGTGATTATGACACATGATCCAGCTTTTACCCGAATGCCTGAGAGTCAGTCAGATCCTCCCTTGTGCTCGTACAGCAAGCACTTCACTGAGTAAACGGGGTCATCTCTCCGGCACCATTTTCTTTCTAACCATGTGCTCCCTGAAAACAAGTTCCTTACAGCCCCTTTCAATCTGTACAGTGCTGAGAGCTCGGTGGCACTTTTGGGGTATGAGCTGTCTTTTCTTTGGGGCACTCCTCTGAGCAATAGTGGTGTTGGTAGATACCTTTCCCCAACAAAGATGGAGATTGGAAAATCAGCCACCCTGAGCTCCTGGCAGGGCCTTGTACAAAGACCCTCTAAGGTTTGTCATTTTGTTGTCTTGTCCTTGGGCACTGCTAGGGTAACAGCATGGAGCTGTGTGTTCAGGCTGAGGTGCCACTTGTGGAACAGTGCCTGTCTCCATCGTGACATTGTCTGATTCCCCCCATATTCTCCCAAGGCAGAGTCGGGCTTCCTAGTCGGGTCCATCTGTTGTCTTTGCAAGCCAGGACCATGTGCATAACAGTGGTGCTAGTCTCTACTCTGAACTGCACATGCTGTCAGCTTCTTGGGATGCTCCTTGCCTGCCTAGTCATTGCCATAGAAGCTTTTTTTAAAAAATGTAATAGTGAATAGTTCTTTTCTGAATTTGCAAGCACATCATATTTAATTTAAAATATTTTTTTGGCGGGCTGGAGAGATGGCTCATTGGTTAAGAGGCCTTAGCTGCTCTTCCTGAGGACCTGAGTTCAATCCCAGCACCCCCACAGCAGCTCACAACTGTCTAACTCCTGTCTGATGCCCTCCTACAGACATACCTACAGGCAAAACACCAATGTGGATAAAATAAAAATACTACGTATATTAAAAAAAAATATTTGTTGGCCATTTGTATCAGTTTTTAAGTTCTCAGCCCATTCTTGGTCCCATCCTAGGCTGTGGTGGGCCTCATGAAATACAGTAAGCGGTTTAAAACCAGACACTGGACCAGGGATGTAGTTCAATGAGGCAGAGTGCTCACCTAGTATGCTGGCAGCCCTGGGTTTCATCCCCAGCACTGCATGAGCAGAGAGTGAAGGTTTATACCCATGATTTCAGCACTTGGGAACAGAGGCCGGGGAATCAGAAGTTCTAATTCATCCTTTACTGTACAGCAAGTTTGAGGCCATCCTGTAATACACAGCATCCTGTCTCAAACAACAGTAACAATAAAACGGAATTAAACACAACGAAGCCACCAGAAATATGTGATCCTATCTAGACCTCGCCCTGAGATAGGTTTCTGGATCTCTGTGCAGGGTTTTCCCTGTGGCAGCTGCCGCCAGAACAAGAGAAAGGATAAGCAGCGTGTACTGGCTGCTGGCTACACACAACCCTCTCTCAAGAAGATAGTGTGTAGGTGAGAACCCTGTACAAAGGTCAAGAAATGTGCAGTGAAATTCAAGCCCTTGTCCATGTGATTGGCCTCCAAGCGTTTCCCTTAGCCTTCCTGGTTGGGGCTGGGAGAGATGTGCAGATCTGTGGCTGGGGCCTGAACCAGCCTGTGTCCATAGTGCTTGGTTTTTTTTGTTTTTGTTTTTGCTTTTGTTTTTTTAAACAAAACAAAAAGCAGCCATATAGCAAGGAACTAGAGAAATGACCTTTGGTTGAGAGCACTTCAGTTTCCAGTACCCACATTGAGTGGCTCACAGATACCCATCACTGTCGCGCCAGGAAATCTGGTACCCTTATGTATTGGCCTCTTCCAGAGGACTTTTTGAATTCCAGTACCCATGTTGTGTGACTCACAACCACTTATAACTCAGCTCTAGAGGGATCCAGATGCCCTCCTCTAACCTTTGTGGGCTCCTGCATACCCTCCACCCCCACCCCTACACACACACACACACACACACACACACACCAGTAAATGGGGGGGAGCAAAACCTCCCATTTTGAAAGAGGTAAAATTTGGTGTCTTTAGTATGACAATAGCTTTCAAAGGCAATGCATGCCATTAATATTATTTGGAAACCTGGTTAAGATTTCCAAAAGAAATTACTGTGTCCTTTCTATATTGAGTTAAAATTCATATGTGGCCCTTTGTACTGAGCCCTCCTGGAGGTGATGAAGGACTAAACGTCTTTACTGAAGCAGGTGTGTGTTTAATTTCCCAGTTAAGATTTTGAAGAGTAAGCTAAGTAATGATTTTTTTTTTAAATCGCCTAATGTAGGCTAGAAAGGAAGCAGTTTTTCCCAAAAAGAAGATAATCACACTTGACCTGTGTGCCGCTTAATTAAATCAAGTCATCCCTAGAAAACAATCATGTTCAATAACAGGAAGGGTTTGTTGAAAGTGAAGTGGGAATTGTTCCGCCGTTGGAGGAGAATTGTGCCATTAGTACTTTGGACAATGCTTTTATCTGGGGACTGGCCTCGTGGGGGAGGGGCTATTAACTACAAACACAGCCAGTATGAAGAATGGTTTGAGATTAATTTCCTGCTTCCTTTTACATATTGTCACTTGTCTTAGGAGACTCTATAAAAGTTTATTAGCATTTAAATAGCCACTTGAAGGATCACATTTTGAGTAAAAATCTATGAGGTCTTATGGAGCTCCAAGAGTGGAAAACATCTCATGTAGCTCTACCTGCCAGGCCAGGTCAACGGATTGTGACCATCTTTGTATACCTTAGACACTGGCCCAGTAGCCATCCTGGTAAAATGCAATATGAGCTCATTGGCAGTAATACCCTTCTGACAATAAGTTCTTAAACTCATGCCAAATGGTTCCCCGGATTTACCTAGCTACTCCTGTTTCTATTATTAGATAATTTCCAGAAACAAAAGGCTACTAAGGATATAAGAATTTGGGGGCTGGAGTCATGACTCAGTGGTCAAGAGCACTTGTAGCATTTGTAGAAGACCTGGCTTCGTTCCTAGCACTTACACAGCGGCTCACGATGCCAGTTCCAGGGGCTCTGATGCCCTCTTCTGACCTCCTCTAGCACCAGGCATGCACATGGCACACAGAGAGCTATGTATACAAAACACTACACTAATAAAATAAATCTTACAAAAATATCTAAAAGTTTCATTGGTGTGTGTATGTGCATGAGAGAGAGCGAGAGTTTAATGAGTTTTAAACTTCTTTAAAAACATTATTTATTGTCTGCAGGGAGGAAGGTAGGATGTGGTGGGGCTTGTGCATGTGGAGGTTGGAGGACAACTTGTAGGAGTCAATTTGCCATGTCAGTCCAGGGAATCAATCGCAAGTCATTAGGCTTGGTGGCTGGGATCTTTACCTGCTGAGCCGTCTCAGCTTATTGGGCACAGGTGAGGGAGCTTACAGGAGTGTGACTGTCATATTACTACAAAGTCCCAGCCCCCTGCTGACCAATTCCTAGAAGCTGCCTCATGGAGTCATTGAGTCATTGCGGTCTCCTTACATCGCAAACGGCTGCACGTTGACCACCCATCCTGGCAGTGCTGCGTCAAGCACTTCCTTTGGGGCATGTTTTCTTACTGTGAGGGGGAGAAGCCAGGGAGAGGGAGAGGATGGGGTCCTTACAGTGCTACATGGACATTGAATTCACTGTGACCCCGAGTGGGCTGCCATGCTCGTCACTGCCCAGCATGCAAACCGTCACAGTCTTTTCCTCATGTGAAGCAAGGGCAGAGCATCCTCACCCTCTCCACACCACATGTCAGTCACATGTGGACTTTAGCTAAGAGTCTGGGAAGATTTATGTGTATGAGTGTTTTGTCTACATGTATGTATGTATATGTACCACATGCATGCCTAGGGTCCTTAGACATCAGGTGTCAGATCCGCTGAAACTGGAGTCACGTAATGACTATAAGCCATCATTTGGGTGCTAGGAACTGAACTCTGCAGGAGCAGTTAGTGTTCTTCATCATTAAACTGTCTTTCTAGTCCTGAAAATACAAATTTTGATACTGTAGTTTAGACTCGTATTTCTTGGGAGGCAACAAGCCAAACCGAACAAAATGAACCTTTTTTTTTTTTTTTTTTAACTATCCCTCTAGGACTCTGGATCGATTTGGAAATGTCTTACAACGGGTCCTTTCTGATGACTCTCGAGACCAAAATGAACTTGACCAAACTAGGTAAAGAGCCTCTTGTTGAAGCCCTGAAGGTTGGAGAAATTGGCAAAGAAGGGTAAGGGGCTATATATGATTTCCTAACCAACCTGGGGGCGGGCAGCCTCTCCCTGCAGCCTGTGAGAAGCAGGTTAGGGTGTGGGATCCCCTGCACGGGCAGCTAGCTCAGTGTCAAAGTGAGCTTTACACCCAGCATCTGCTGGCATCAGCACTGTCAGAGGTGACACTGTCAGTTACCCGGAAAGTATCCCTGGTTGCAGACAAGCAAGACAGACATCTAAGCATAAACTGGTCTGTGAACTGAATCCTTACTCTGAAGGCTGCTTCAGCTTCCAGCCACAGACAGCACTATTCAGAGCAGATTAAGGTCCCCTGGGGATCTACCACTTTAATCACCAGGTCGGAATTATTTATAACGAGATGGTTGATTTCGAAGCTAAGAGGATGCTCTGCGAGTGTTCTGAGAAGCACTTTCCCGAAATAATACAATATTGATTTGCTTAGTAAATTCTTCTCTTTGTAGATAGTACATATGTTCCCCAGAGTTAATCTGATTTAGAAATATTCCAGGATTGTGAAGTAAATAATGGAGCCTTGATTCCACCGCCCCCCCCCCCTTTGGTGCCAGATTCTCAAATACCTTAAAGGTCACTGTTCTGACGACACATCGAAATGATGTGTCTGTTTTAGCTGAGTTAAAAGATGTGGCCTCTCCCATCTGCAGTCAGTCCCTAATCCTCCCGCGGGGACCAGATACAGGGCCAAGGGCTGCCTCAGTGAGTGAACTACTCTGCAGACCGTAAGAGACTGACTGGCTCTTGGATGTTTTTGCCTAGTTGCAGCTGACCAACCGTCTTGAGGGCTGTAGTGCTGGTAGAGCAAGGAAGTTGAGTGGTGTCTCCAAGAGCATTGTTTGGCTGAGAGTCCCTTGATTTAGTCAGGTTGTGCATTAAAATGTTCCTGCTCTAACAATTGGAGAACTGCACCTGCTCAGCACTCATCTAACCTGAGTCTGCTCTTTTCCTTTCCTTTCTCTATTTGTTAAAATGGATTTGGATTCGGCAATCTGTGGATTGGTATTTTCTGGTGAGTGGCATTCATCAACTCCCTGTGTGGCATTCCATACCCTGTGAGTGCTGAGCCTGATCTGGTCCCGTTTGAAGCCATAACAGATGTCTTCTCATCTTGTTCCGGGACATGAAGGCACAGTCCAAGGGCTCGGGAAGGCAGAGAGCAGAGCAGGGGCAAGGCTGTCCTAACAGAGTCTCCCTGAGCTAGCCCGGAGTCAGGCCCAACTTCTTGTCCTGCAGTCCCACTCCACTCTGACCCTGTAGCTGAGCAGTGCCAGTCTGGCCTGGTGACAATAAAGTTGTAGAAACACTGTGGGCAGACGCAGTCTGAAAATGTGGTCTCCTGGGCTAGGAATGCAGCTCAGTGGGCGAGCAGTTGCCTAGCATGTGCCAGGCCCTGGGTTTGATCTCCTTGGGTTGTGTCTACCAAATGGGACAGGGACCGAGCAGTCTTTGGTCATAAGCATCTGAGTAAGGAGCCTTTCTGGGCACAGCCGTGCCCCAGCGTAGGGCTTTGGGGCTCTGTTGGAAAGATGAGTTATACACATCAGGTGGGCAGCAGATTGCTTCTGGTCATTCTTGTCCTTCAGACACTCTACAGTAACTGTTACTGGTCTGCCTGCTCATAGGATGCCGTGCGTCTTTAGACTGACTGAAAAGACTTCCTTTCTTTGGGAACATGGCTTTTATGGTAAAAATGTGTATCTAAAGCCATCTTTTTATAGAAGAATCCTGTCTAAAATGTGTATCTCCTTGTAGGGAAAATGTTGAAATATACAATAATACGTAATTGGCTATCACTTACTTTTCAATGCAAAGAAAAATACAATCCACACCAGGCAGTGGTGGCACACGCCTTAAACTCAGCACTTGGGAGGCAGAGACAGGAGGATCTCTGTGAGTTGGAGGCCAGCTTGGTCTACTAAGGGAGTTCCAAGACAGCCTTCAAAGCTACAGAGAAATCCTGTCTCGGAACCAAAAAAACAGACAGAAAAATATAGTCTAAAATCCTGAGAAATGGACCCTGGTGGAAGCTGAGGACTCTAGGCCCCTTCTTTATTTCAGAAAATGTTTCCACAAGCATGATTTGGCTTGGAGTTTCAAGAAGCATCTGAAACCCTTGAAAGCCCATGCATGATACTAGAGCCAAGCTCCAGAAACAGTTCTCAGATCTGCTTCCTCGGTTCCTCAGCCATGAACATGCAGCCGTGGTGAGGCTGAGGAGAGGAGAGACAGAAGTCAGCCCATGTGGTGTCTATTATTAAGCATCAGCGCCTTCCTTAATACCAAACACCCAAGGGGTGGACTGTAGCAGCCCACAACAGCACCCTTTCCAGGCCCTCCCTTTTAGCCACCTGTGCCTGTCCAGGCCTCACACCATACATGGGTTTGTTCCCACTGTCCAGCTTTGGCAGGGCCTTGGCTGCTCTGTTCAGTCTCCACTCAAGTGATTGTGCTCTTGGGGAGCTTCTACAGTGATGCTGATTAGGCCGTGAGAACTGATGGGAAGTTTGTTTATAAGTGGTACCCGAAGGGCAAGATGGAGAAGTTGAGATCTAGGTTGCTTTAGTGTGAAGTTGTTTCCCTTTGCAAAGCATGTCCACTGTCTGTTTGTGGCCATTTATCTTTTAAGCTTTTACTTCTGCAAGCAGCATATCTTCTTGTCACATACTGTAGTTAAGTCACTTGGGAGCATTAAGGCAAATATGGTCTTCAAGGGCTGGGAGTGTAGCTCAATGGAAGCTCTTGCTTAGCATGTATGGAATGCTAGGCTCAATCCCCAGTTCTATGGAAGTGGAGGAGGTGGTGGGTGCTGAGCAGTCTAAACTGCAGGAAAGAACTGTGAAGGGCCTTTAAATGAGTCAAAGGGCTGCGACATACATGACAGATTCTTTAATGGGCAATAGGGTGTTTTTGCAGTGTACTTGGTGCAGCTTGGGCCAGTATGTAGCTGCACCTGGCAACCCCTCCTCAGCCTACTATGCTATCACCCAACCCCTAGGCCCTTGATGTTCCTGAGAGCCTAGTATACTATGATTCAACCTTGTCCCAAATGTGTGTGTCTGCATGCACGGGCACACGCAGCTAATGCATGGGACTGGTTTCTTATAAATAAAAGAAAACAAGTGTGTTCTTCTGTGTGATGTCCCCTCCCAGGGCACGATTATATACTCTTCACTGAAAGCATTTCTTACAGTCACTTTTTAAAATGGCCTATGGAGTCTTCGCCATTCTTTTACCAATTCCAAAGTGGTAGCAAACCAGCCTGCTTTGCAGGTGGGTTCAGAAACTGCTGGAATGGGGCTGGGGGAGATGGCTCAGCTGTTAAGAGCATTGGCTATTTTTCCAAAGGACCATAGTTCAAGTCCCAGCACTCACAGAGAGGCTCACAACCATCCGTAGCTCCAATTCTAAGGCCATCTGTTGCCCTCTTCCAACACTTGAGAGGCCGAGGCAGGAGCCTTACCCTGAGTTTGAAGACAACCTGGACCACATAGTGAGTTCCACAAAGTGAGATCCCATCTCAGAAGAAAGGAAAATAAAGAAAAGAAACTGGTCCAAGACAGAATCCATGACTCTCTTATCCCTGACTCCAGGCACATATCTCAAGTGGTTTTTAGCAGGGACAAGTGTAGCTGGAATGAGCCTGTTCTGTGGCTCTCTGAGAGGGTGGGACTCTTCTGTAATTCTGAGGTGTGTTGAAAGCCAGTAGTTTCTCACATACTACACGTCTTTTATAAGGTTGTGTAGTGTATCCTCTAAAATTCTTGATTTTCTCATATGGTCAAAAGCGTAAAATGCACATTTAGATGTAAAAGCTGCATATGAGCCCAACAGCCACAGGCTTAATTGGTCCAGGGTTCCACATGATACAGCTCCCATTTGGATGATAGCAGTTGATAGAGGTGCCGGTTGGTCCAAATCAGAATCCAATCCACGGCATCTGATACACTGGAACCCGTGCAGCGCTGTCTGGACTAGTCACACAGCCACAGAAAGAAGCTTACTCTCTCCCCTACAGAGGATTTGTTTTGGTACCCAAGTGCTCAATGCAGCGCTCACCCTTTGGCATCTTCTACCCAAGCGATGGAGATGCCAGCTGGTACACATTGGTGGGGACTTGAGGGGCCATGGCTCAGCAGATCTCACTATGGTCCCAGATGCTGTTGGCAGCCCTTTGTGCTGTGTGTGGATGAGGACTGCCCTGTGCTGCTGGGCTGGCTTCCATACCTGACAGCCCAAGGCTAGCACTGAGAGCCCCACTGTTGGACTGGATGGAGAAACAGGACAGTTGTGTAATTTCTGGCAGTTTACATTTCTGACTCCCCTTACCCCAAAACCCAGTTCAAGGTTTTTTGAGGATCACATTTGCCCTGTAAATGTGAAACCCTAAGGCGTGCTCTTTGAGGATGGCCTTCCCATGGGACCTCAGAAACAGCTCTGAGCAGTGAGGGCATAGACTGAACTAGCCAGTCCTGTTAGGGGAAATGGGGGTGGGGGTGGGGGGTACAGGTGCTTCAGATGAGGAACGGCTCCTCTGAGGGTCAACCCCTTCACTGTGGAAGTCCAGTGTGTTGGTGCAGCTCTGGCTCCATTTCAGAGCCAGGGTGAGCAGGATCTGTGTGTCCTGCTGGGGAGGATATGCGTGGGATCTTCTTACAAGCCAGCTCCTGTTTCAGGGTGAGAGGCTCAGCCTGACCGGCCCTCTCATGCATGCAGCTGTGTGCTCTGCCCTTGACCCCCATTAATCAGAAGACAGTCACCCTAGTGGCTCAGGGAGGTGTCAGAGCGGACAACCGCAGCAGGGAGACTGGGTCTAAGCTGCTTCGCCTTGCCCTGCCTGGAGTAGTTTGCCCTAGTCAGCAGTACAAGGCTGTGTTTAGTGACCATTTGGTGGCTTAATAGTGTTGAGAGACAGTTCTGTCCTTTGCTCATTTCATGCCTAGCTAAGGCCCCAAGCTGTAGAGATGGGGCCCAGCTAGTAATCTCTCAAGGAGGCAGCAACTTCCACTGCACCTCAGAAGGGAACCAGCTCTGCTGGTGATCCTGCGAGCCCCATCCCTCTGGAACCCTGAAGCGTGTGGTAAAGGACAGTGCTCTATAAGGGGGCTGCAAAGCCTGGCCTTTTAAGTTTGTGTTGTTCTGGGAAAGTCCCTGAGTTCTCTGTCAGGTGCTTTCTTGAGTCCCCTGAGACTTGGTACCTTGTGGCTTTGGCCTTTCTCTGTGACCCGCCTTCCCTGCCCCCACTTCAGCCCAGGATATGGAGCAGGTGTGGGGTCACATATCTAATCTCACTAGGAAGGGGTCCAGTCAAAACTAATTTGAGGGGTAGTTAAACCAAAGACAAGGACTTGCCTGTACCTCACTCATCCATGGTAAGAGACAGTCATATCACCAGCATCAAACTGCCATCATAACCCTGCTAACTATCCATTTTTTCCATTCACATCCCCACCCTTGGCCCCTGCGTTTTATGTGACTCCATCACGCTCCTCTACCTGTCTTTTTGGTGCATGCTCAAAGCAACTCTGTGGGCTCAAGTCCTCTGCAGTCCTGTCAGGGGACTTGGAGTTTCCCAAGTAAGCAGCCAATCCAAGAACTCTTGGATTCTTAGTGACACTGACAACAAGTGATGATGTTCTTCTTTCTTGACTCTCTGGCTCTGTGTGTGTGTGTGTGTGTGTGTGTGTGTGTGTGTGTGTGTGTGTATACACTCGTGCACATGAGCGCACACGCACATGAACCTGTGATAACTTTCACCCTGTTCAGTTGCAGGCCCAGGGTGTACTGTCTAGCCGACAGTGATGAAGAATCCTCCAGTGCCGGCTCCTCTGAGGAAGATGATGCACCGGAGCCCAGTGCTGGAGACAAACAGCTGCTCCCCGGGGCTGAAGGGTAAGTGGATGGGGCTTCTGGAGGCTCAGGAGGTTAAGAGGGCCGCCAGGAGTCTTTGCTTTCCTCTCCAAGCCTTTTCTTCCACACCTGAGTGAAAGCTTTCAGCATCAACATCCTAAGAGGTCAGACTTTGGCTTTGTGTTGCAGTATAAGTAAATAAGTATCAGGGACTTTGAAGGACAGGCCTGTCACTAGAATTGCACCCTGGGTCTTCAGAGGGCAAAGGCTGCACACCACCTCCCCCTGGTGGCTGCAGAGAGAAGGGACCCAATCACACCACAGCCAGATCTGCTTGCTGCTGCTGTCTGAGGAGCTGGATTTTGAGATTATGGATGTCCTAGCTGCTCTTCTGGCTGGTGAACTTCATCTGGGCACCCTCTGTGCCTGCTCCTTGGGCAGTGTAATGATCAGAGTGCATCAAGCGCCTTTCTGTAAGGACCTTTAAATTATTTAAAGGGAGATAAAGAAACACTAGATTACAGCACCGGGTGATTGAGAAACTTGTAAGCACAAGCAGCCTGCTCTCTTTGAAATGGTTCAGAAGGAGAAGGGAACACAGGTGTTTGCAGCACAGTCGGTACCCTCCTATAACTATTGTTTAGGGCTAGAGGTGGAACTTGGTTACACAGTGCTTGTCTAGCATGGCGAGGCCTTGGATTCAGCGCCCCTCACTCCCAGAGCACCCACGTTGCCCCTGGTGTCTGAAACTGTAGAGTCTAGAAAGAAACCCACCAGGCGGGTCTGAGGCAGGCCCCGCTCTTCCTGCATTGACTTGATGCAGCCTTTCCTTAAAGGGGGAGGAGAGGGGAGAGAGTTCCAAGCCCTTTGATAAGCACCTGGCCCTAACATCCCTAACATCGTCCGTTAGTCGCTGCTGTGTTGTCTGTCTGTGTGCTGTCCAGAGACCTCCAGAGACCGGGAAGTTCCCGGCAGGACAAGGACTCACTCTGAGTCTGTGAGGGATGACTCTGATTGGATGTCCACAGTGTCTGACCTTTACCTCCTCTAAAGTAGTAGTTCTCAACCAAGGGTAACTAAACCCCTATGGGGACTGACGTTTCATTATGTTGATGGAGAATGTTCTTGCCATCTAATCCTCTGAGGCCAAGGAGGCTGCTAAACATCCTGTGTCCACATGATTCTCCTCCTCAAACAGAGTGACCTGTCCAAAGTGCGCCCAGCCATTGGAGAGCGAGTGCAGCCACAAGGCCTGTGTTGGTCAAGGATATTTGGGGCCAGCGAGACGGCTCAGCAGACAAAGATACCTGCCACCAAGCCTGACAGCCTGATTTGATCCCTCAGAGCCCTACTCCACAGGCTGCCCTCTGACTTACACACGCGCCTCTGCACGCCCTCCTCACTAACACACCTTTGCATTCTTTTTTGGAAGGTATGTTGGAGGTCATCGAACAAGTAAGATCATGAGGTTTGTCGATAAAATTACCAAGTCAAAATATTTCCAAAAAGCAACGGAGACAGAGTTCATTAAAAAGAAGATGGAAGAGGTCTCTAATACACCCCTGCTGCTAACTGTGGAAGTGCAAGAGTGTCGCGGCACCTTAGCGGTCAACATTCCGCCACCCCCGACCGACCGGATATGGTACGCGCATGCCCCAAGTGGGACCGGAGCGCTTCCACATGCTTTCATTGTATTTTCTTCCGTGACTGTCCCGTCCCGTGGACATTTGAGGATGGTCTTCATGTCAGAAGTTAAGATGAATGCAAAGTTTGTGAAAGGGGCTGTTTCTGTCCTTGGTCCTTTCTCTAAAGCTGACTCATCCAGCTTCCTCTCTGCCTAGCCTAGGGTGGGTGAGTGAGTGGGTGGGTGGGTGAGTGAGTGAGTGGGTGGGTGGGTGAGTGGGTGGGTGGGTGAGTGAGTGGGTGGGTGGGTGGGTGAGTGAGTGAGTGGGTGAGTGGGTGGGTGAGTGGGTGGGTGGGTGAGTGGGTGAGTGAGGCCTTAGTGTTGGTTTGGGAGGCTGGTGTGTGCACTGGGCATGGGTGACAGGAAGCTATGTGAGGAACAGGTTGAGTGGTCCTATCACCTGGGGAATGCTGAAGATACAGACAGGCCTGGCACACTGGCCAGGATTTCTGCCCTTGGCTTGGGGGTCGGGTTACCGTGCCTGAGCCTCAGTTTAGAATTGATGGATGAGTTATTCACAGGCCCAGCATCCATGTCTGTGACTCTCCATTTAAAATTGTGAGTCCTGTAAAATAGTCGTAGTGCACATGGTCAGGGAGTGAGAGTTCAGAGCTCTTACAATTGCAAATGGCATTCTTGATGAAAACACGGCTCTACAGTCCAGCGTAGCATGGACCAGTGCGCTCGCATCTCCTTGGTATGCAGCAGGCTTTGTAGAAATGTTTGGAAGTTTTCCCCAGGCAGCTGATCATTCAATGGCAATGCTGATGTTTCCCAGCAAAATTCAAAAATAACTTTGTAGGTTTTTTTTTGTTTTGTTTTGTTTTGATTTATGAGACAGGATTTCTTCAAAAATAAAAATCAAAAAGGAAGAAAGAAAAAAAGAGAGAGAGAGCAGTCTTTAGAATAATTTCTGCCTGAGTATACTTAGGAGCATGCCCACTTAATGGGGATGGCATTCAGGAGACTGTGTCTTTCAAAAGTTTTGAAGTGTGTGTGTGTGTGTGTGTGTGTGTGTGTGTGTGTGTGTGTGTGTGTGTGTGTTTGTAATGAGCAGGGTAGTAGTGAAACATGCCTTTAATCCCAGGAATTAGGAGGCAGAGGCAGGCAGATCTCTATGAATTCCAGGACAGCTAGGACTATTTACACAGAGAAACCCTGTCTTGGGAAAAACAAACAAACAAACAAACAAACAAAACAAAAAAAAAAACAAAAATAAAAACAGGAAAAAAAGGTTATTGTCACTTTAGGGAAATTAAAACCCAAAAGGTGATGCCCAGTTCCTGGCCTTCTCTAGGCTCTCCTCCATCATCAGTGCTGGTCAGAATCCATCAGAGCCCCAACACTGTCGGGCAAACATAGGCATTCCGAGCTCACACTGCTGTGCTGAGTTAGGTGTGGGGCAGTTCAGAACTGGAGAGCATTTAGTGATGAACCCTCCCTGTCCCAGTGAGGGGTCCCCACTTCTTTTCTCTGCTTGTCACATGTGATTACTGTCTTCTTCAAAAAGGTATGGTTTCCGGAAGCCACCATATGTGGAGTTGAAAGCTCGGCCAAAACTTGGAGAGAGAGAAGTGACTTTAGTTCACGTGACAGAGTGGATAGAGAAGAAGCTGGAACAAGAGTTTCAGGTAAAGTTGCCCTTACCTTGTGTTTCCCACCGAGAGTAAGAATGTTGGGTGGAGCTGGGCAGTTACACCTTTAATCCCAGCACTAGGGAGGCAGAGGCAGACAGATCTCTGTGAGTTCGAGGCCAGCCTGGTCTACAGAGCAAGTGCCAGGACAGGCTCTAAAGCTACACAGAAACCCTGTCTCAACAAAACAAAACAACAACAACAAAAGTTAGAGAGCATTGTGTGGAATGGAGGATCTGGACTTCATCTGGGCCCAGGTCCTCTTTGAATTTTGAAGGAAGCCACGAGTATTACTGAAGCTCAAATGTATTATCAGACACACAGTTATAAACAGTATGCAAAGAACAATCTCTTTGTACCACTGATTTTCCTTTGGACAGTCACCATATTAGGATTCTTTTCATGTGTAGCTCTATATGGTTTTGTCGTGAAAAAACTCAGCCTATGTTTGTGCTAAGATTTAAAAGAACGAGTTCATTTGGCATATGTCCTGGGCATAGTGATTTTGAAATACTGCATTCATGTAGTTGAACGTTTCTTATGTAGTCAATGTATGCATGTGAAACTGAAGACTCTTACCTCAAAGCGGACACACCAGGTTCTTCCTGTATCCATGCTCTCTTGTGACTCCTTGGCTCCTTTGAGTTCACGTGTGGAGGAGCTGGCCATTTAGCAAAGTGCTTGTGTCACGAGCCTGAGGGTCTGAGTAAAAACTTCACATCCACATAAAACCCCAGGGCTGGGGGACTAATCAGCCAGCCAGTCTAGTCACATTGAGTAGCTCTAAGTTCAGTAAAAGACTTTTGTCTCAAAAAATAAGGTTGAACGAAATTGACACACACATACACAAACAGGATGGTAGAATTTGTTTGGAATGTATAGGAAAATATTTCCTATATGAAAGGAGGGCAATTGCCTGACACACAGCTGTTGTTTAATATCTCCCTACAGAAAGTTTTTGTCATGCCAAACATGGATGATGTTTATATCCCTATAATGCACTCGGCCATGGACCCTCGCTCCACTTCCTGCTTCCTGAAAGACCCCCCTGTGGAGGCCTCTGACCAGCTGTGATGGGTGAAAGTGGGACATTCCCAGTATTATGAGACCTAGCTCGAGGTGTGGGGTTTGTGGCTGCCATCTGTGCTGTGGGGCTGGCCTTTGCTGGTCCACAGCTACTTGTCTCTTAAAGGACGGCTTCTGCCCTCTGCCTGCAGTGCCCATTCCACCGGGAGGTGTCGCTCCCTGCATCCAGTGACTAGTGTCTGGTTTGCCTGTTGCAAAGTTTTGACTGGCAAAGGAGACAAGAAGAGCCATCATGTGGGAGCCAGAAGTTACAGCTGATTACAACACCGTGGCTTGCTCTTTTTTTTTTTTTTTTTTAGTCTACCAGGTTTTGTAGCGGCGCAGAGCTGTACAACTGGAAGGCTTCCCCTTGCCTCTTGCCTCCTCCAAAGCTTTTCCTCAGGCAGCTGGTGCACAGGAACATTTCTCCACTCTGCACTTTGTACGCATGATTGCAGCCCTCCACCCGTGGGGAATATCACTGTGGTAATCTGTGTGGAGTGTGGTTTTGTGAGCCATTTCATCGGTGGTAAAGATAGGCTTAGCAACTTCTTTTCCTATTAAATTGTGCATTTTGGAAGCAAGTAGCCATAGGTCATACACACCCACAAACACATTTTCAGCTGGGGTGGGGACGGTGGGTTTCATGTGAACATCAGGCAAAGCCATGAGATCAAACCATCCCAGATGAGGTACAATCACCTTGCTTCTAACCAGTCCTGATTATTTCCCATGACATGAGCATAATGTCAAACAGTGCACACAATTGTTCCCCCCTGGTACTCATGGGGTGGGGCCAGAAAGCCAGAGCCAAGCTGTTCTTCTCTGGTTTTCCTACCTGCTCTTCCTGGAGCTTCTTTAGGAAGGATCTTGCTCATCTAACTGCTTTGGGAGGTTTGTGGGCAGTTCCCTTCTCTGATGGCCAAACAGAGGGCTGTTCTTTACTTTCTAGTCAGCGTCAAGCACTACATCTCCACATCTCCACGTGCACTTGTGACCTTTCTTTAATGTTGCCAACTTAAGTTTGAGCATTTGTATCAGAATGTTTAGTTTACAAATTTGGGGGCCTCTAATTGTGTAAGTTGCTTTGAAAAGACCTAATAGTTTTGTTTAAAGCTGCATCCAATGTCAAAATTACCTTGGGTAACTTTTGGTAATTTAATGTCTGTGCACAAAGCTAATAAGTGTTTTGTTTTTTTAAACAGCACCTTGCCTGAAGATGACTTTAAAGAAATTAATATATTAAAAATTTATATTTGAACTTTTAATCATCCTATTGAAACATGACAGATTATTTGACCACTCCAGTCAATGTACTGCCCTAATCAATGTGTAAGCCAATGCACCTGTCACAGTCTGCATGTCTTGTTCTGTTTTTTTTTCCTGTGCAGTAGTGACTAAGGGCGAAGACCAGATTAGAAACACTAAAGTGTAAAGATTACACGACTGTACCCTGCCACTTAAAGTAGTTATGTGGGGACTTAAAATCGCATTGTTTCACAAAATAAATATCTCATGTCAAACACCAGGAAGGCATCGGTTATTTCTAGGAAAGGCCATAAAAGAAAAGCAGAGCACCTCTGGGCTAGTTTTACCCACGCTTCCTACCTTCCAGCTTTATCGGGGTGGGGATGCAATTGAATTATGTGCTTAACTTTGTGGTACAAAGGAGGGACTAATCTTGACTTCTAGGCAAACAGGCCTTGGGACCTGCTCCATAAGCTTCCTTCCTTCCTTCCTATCGTTTCAGCTTACTTGTTGGCTGTGCTCTCATTTAACAAACAAGATGCAATGCAGGCTGTACTATTCTTGCCCACATTAGAGCCATGCTGACTTGGGATCAGGGGCTGTGGTGGTTTGTAACTGGGGCTCACTCTTTTCTGTGCATTGGGCCCTCCAAGCCTGTGCATGTGAGAGTTCCTCGATCTGACAAGTGCTCCTGTATTTAGTTAACATACCTCCCTGGCTAGAATTGCTTGCTAGTAAACTAACCTGACAATTTAGTTTGCCTAAAGCCTGTCAAAATGCCCAACTAAACTATTTCGATAGTTATTTCCTCATTGATATCAGAAGCAGTAAGAATTCTCTATAGTATGCAAGTCTTTAATCCCAGCACTCGGGAGGCAGTCTAAGTTCGAGGGCAGCCTGGTTTATAAGATTCAGGACAGGCTCCAAGTTAGAGAAGACCCGTCTCCTAAATTCCTCCCTAACCTAACCACTGGGTGTCCTCAGTTATTCAAACTGAAGTGCCTTATCAGTTGGCTTCACCCCACACACACACCCGTAATGGAGAGGCACCCTCTGGCACATTTGCTAGTCAAACATTGATCACCTAGGAGGCCTCCCCTAATTACTTTTCGATCCCCTCCCTGACCACATTTAAGTCGCCTCAGCACCCATGTGTAGCAGATAGCGATTATACACTTCCAGGACTAGTCATCAGGGTCCTTTCCTTGCAATCCACTCTACGGTGGGCCGAACATTATCTCAGTTATCACCCAACAGGTCCGCGCACGTGGGCTATGGTTACCCCGTGGATATACTGCTTGCCAGCTACCTCCTCTCGTCCCCGAAGAGCCTTCTGGTAGGCTGGTTTCGGCCTGTAGCTAGCAGTTAAAAGGGCCGCCCGCGATGGGCAGGCGGCCCCAGTTATGAACTAGCAATTGCTATGGCGCCGCAGCTTAACCCCCGGCGCCACGAGATAGGGCGCCGGGGGCTCAAAGGCAGCGCGTCGGGGGCAATGACACACGGACACCAGCGCTGCAGTCACAACACTTTATTCAAAGACTTGGGGAAAGGCTGGAGAGGTCCACGCCGTCCGCGGCCTTCCACTGGGCACATCTGAAAGAGAAGCGCAGGGTGAGGGGATGGAAGTTGGCCGGGCCCGCCATTCCCCGCCGCCGCTGCCGGCTCAGACTCGGATTCGCATCACCCGGATCAGCAGTCTAACGCGTGCTATGTATGGATTGTCATCACTGCCGGCTGGCCGCCCACCCACAAAAGGGGCAGCCCTTGGCCCACGCAAACACATTACCTTGGAGCACCACCCGTCGCTAAGAGGGAGAAGAGGTAGTGAGACCTTAACTTAAAGACGACTTCCGGAAGTTGTTGGGCGGGCTTTTACGACACTGACCAATAGGCGGCCGGTTCTCTTGTCATGTGCAAAAGAGCAATCGGCTCATTGGTCATGCTTTCTGAGTCCTCCAGAGTGTAGAAAGGTCACGCTCTAACCATAGAGCTGGGGAGAAACTGGCTGTTTGCAGGTTATGGACTTATCGCTTCCGGATTTATTTTCTACAATTCAGTTCCGAGGGTTCTGTAATTAGCGCATCCCTTAGTAGTAAGCAGACAAACGAAAACGTCATGTATTGGAGGTACTCTGTCCCAGCAGCCAGGGTGAGGTTGGGAAAATGAGCCTAGGTACCCCAGGACCCAGGCAGTAGAAGGAGCTGACTCCCTGTCTGAACGAATAATGATTTTGTGATGAATTGGGTCTTTCAATTTTTCTGGTCCTCAGTTCCTACTACCCTCCCACAGCCTGGCGTGATGACTCGTCCGTAATCCCAGCACTTGAGATGTTTAAAAGCCCAATCTAAAACCTTTATTTTCTATATTGTGTGTTAGGTTGAAAAAAACGTGTGTATGCAATCCTCACTAAAACTGGTGAGGATGCAGCGCGACAGATTAGCTCCCGTTACTTAAGTTTAGGAGTATAGAATAGGATAGCCATTTTGGAGAAGTAGTTATAAATTTCCACTTGCCATGTGATTCATTAATCCCTGGGAATTTGCTGAAGATAAATTAAAACTTGTGGGAGCATAAGAGCTCATACATAATTGTAATTGTGTAAATAATTCAAAAGTCTTACCCCCAACTGCGAACACACCAAGGCTCTATAATGGGTAAATATAAGCTAATTATGTTGTCTCTGCAATCAAAAGCAACTTGAGAAAACACAATAGTCCTTTGTCAGATGTGATGCTTGGAAGTTTCCAGAGATCTTTGCGGGCTAACATCTCCCTGCCCCTTTTTTCTTCAGAAAAGATCTTGCTTGGGCAACCCAAACTGGGCTTGAATTCATACTCTTGTGTCAGCCTCCCAAGTGCTAGGAATCAGGAGTGTGCTCCACCTCATCCAAGGAGATTCATCATTTTTCACTTTGTTGGTATTCTCTACTTTTTATTGTCTTTGTTTTTTTGTTTTTTTTTTTTTTTTTTAACTCCTTATCTCAAGAGTTACAATTATAGTTATGTACCAACCCCTTGGCTTTTCTAGTTTCTTTTTCTTTTTTCCTTTTGGTTTTTCAAGATAAGGTTATGTAGTCCTGGCTTTCCCGGAACGTACTCTATAGACCAGGCTGTCCTCGAAATCAAAAGGTACACCTGCCTCTACTTCCCAAGTGCTGGTTTGATTAAAGATGTGTGCCACTACACCTGCCTAGTTTCTTTTCCTTCCTTCCTTCTTTCCTCTCTCTCTTTAGATTTATTTATTATAAATAATATTACACAGTGTTCTGTTATTTTATTTTGTAAGTTTATCTTATTTGTGTTACTATTTGTGTATATGTATGTTTGCACACATGTGGTGGTCTGACTGTGGTGGGTGTGCCCACGGTATAGACAGAGAGTGTGTGTCTCCATCTGTGTAAGTCAGAGGAGACCTTTGGGGGTCAGCTCTTTCCTTTGACCTGTATAAGGTGTGGTGTGGTGGTTTGGGTAAGAATGACCCCGTAGGTTCATGTGTTTGAATGCTTGGTCCCCAGTTAGTGGAACTGTTTGGAAAGGTTTAGGGGGTGTGGCCTTGTTTGAAGAGTGTGTCGCTTGGGGGGGGGGGGCTTTGAGGTTTCAAAAGGCCACACTAGGCACTCTGTCTCTCTCTCTTCTCCTCTCCCCTCCACCCCCTCTTCCTTGTCACTTTAATTCCAGTACTCAGGAGACAGAGGCAGGCGGATCTCTATGAGTTCAAGACCATCCTGGTCTACAAATTGACTTCCAGGACAGCCAGCACCTCTACCTACTGAGGCATTTTGCTATTATTGTAAAGCATCTGGGTTTGAGCACTTCTTGTGGCATCCCTAGGAAGTGAATACCATTAGAGACCAGAGAGGGCACTGAGCATCCACAATGCCACAGGACCGCCTCTGCAGCCTGGGATTATCTGACCAATTAAAAAGAAAAGAAAATTCTAAAATAAACCTGGCCCCAAATGTTGATAGCGTTGAGACTGAACAATCGTGTTTTCTAACACTGAGTTCTCTTCTACCAGCAAACTAGAGAATGCTGAAATCTAATGTACATTTTGTTTAGCTGTTGCCCATCAGTTGTATTGGGTTTGGCTTTGTTTTCAAGTTCAACTTTAAGGTATTTACACATTTAGGATTGTGATGTTTTATTCATGAGTGGGTTCTTTCATCGTTGTGAAATATCCCTGTTATTTCAAAGCTAACTTGAATGATATCAACAAAACCTTCCTAGTCCCAGACAAGCCCTTGTTCTGTAGCCCAGGCCAGGCTTGAATTCTCTGTGTAATCCACATTGACCCCCTCTTAGCCTCTCTAGAGCTAGGATTACAGGTTTGTGCTACCATGTCTGAACCAGTGTCCTTGGGGTAATTTTTGTAAGGTCCTG